CTAGAGATAAATGACACAAGAGGTACAACTGGATAATATATAATTATTGAGCCTGCTTAGTTAGAAAAAATAGTAGTATACCTCATTTTCTTGCTATTGACTTCTTTCTATTGTTCTCTATCACTGTTGTTAACTTGATTTATTTACTACGCTAACATTTAATACTGAAGTGCAAATATTATTAATTTATTTATGCAAAATATTGTTAAACTATCATTGTTTCTTTACTTAAGAAATCAAAATGCACGTCTAAGCCTAAATTGATATTTGCCCACTGAAATTGTAGATGTATTGATCAAATGGTGAGCATTATAATTTTGTTACGTCCTCGTCAATCCATCGATTTCATATACACGGGGAGAAATAATATGAGAGACAAGAATTCAGTAGGCTGTCCTAATTTCCTTGGAATAGCTTATTTTGGTATAAACATTGTTGTGATAGTAACCGAATGACCAATGAGAATTCTTACATCTTTTTTACCTTTGTTTCTTTTCAAATCTAACTTCTTCTTCAATAAAATAATTTCTCAATTATTATCATTCCATTTTGCCTTGATTCTAATCTTTTCGATTCCTGGGCATGCACAGACTTGACTAGGCATTCAATATAATACATGAGAGCAGCATGATGTAAACCAGTTTTTTTTTACATTTACCAAATACGCTTTTTGTCAAAATAAAATGGCTTGTAAATATGTGGCACATGTGTGATCATGTACATATCTCTCTACAGTTATGCTTCCTCTGCCTTTGAGCCAGCATTTATAATCAACTTTAACAACATTCGCTGCAGCTAAAATAAGGTTTAAATTGTTTATACTTTTCTTTCTTGGCACTTCAATTAAAAAAGCATCCATAATACTTTCGAGAATTTTATCTTCCTACATATTATTCTGAAGTGATAGCCATATAATATCTTGAATGTTATCTAGTTTTTATTAGTTAATTACTTCCGTTTTATTCGTTCATTCATTTTTTACAACTGTTGCATGATCTCCCATCTAATTGTTACTATTCAGGATGTGCTTGACTACCTATACTACTACACTCAGTTCCCTTTTCCAACCGTGAATTCGTCCGGCCTTGGCAAGACAAATTCGAGTGTGCTCGGCCGAGAGCCGGCGCTTTTCTTAGATCTGCCTCCCAGTTCCCGACACAGCCCAACTTGTCAATCACTCACAGCTTCGCTGGCTGTACAGACAGCTGATCCACGGTTACCCGACGTCCTGTCGGACACAGATGGGGAAGACGAAGGGGCTGAAGTTGAAAGTGATGAATCAGATGCAGCTACATGGGCATTACGAGATAAAAATAAGCAGCACATAACTTCCGGATATAGCCAGCGACGCTGTGACAGACGACTAGCTTGCAAAGAGTCGAATGGCTTGGAGGCTGGTGCATATAATACTGATTTAGACGAAGACCTTCTTGAGACGCTGGCAGGACATGCTGACTGGAAATCTACCCATGACAAGGGACCCGGACAAGCTGTGCGAAACCGCACAGTTGCCTATATTGACATCCATCCACGGATTCACTTCCTGACTGGCAGGACTACTGGAGATCGGTTCTCTGCTCACCAAGTCAGTTCAAATGTACTTGGCTGTCCAGCACATTTATCTATCTCGATCCGGCAGTCGACGGACCATAATACCCACCCTGTTCGAGAGAAGAGTAAAGGGGAAGAGGGCTCTTGGACCCAAGTAATTGAGGAGACTAGCACAAGCGGAGTGGAGACGGCCAGAGTCGAGTGGGCGTTGCCTTTACGATACGTATCCAGAGCGTACATCCAATCGTATGTCCTTTTGAAAGCGATGCGCAGATATGAGTGATTCGTCATCTTTTTCTATTTTATTCTTCCCGTGTAGACTAGGTCCCAATTACTAATGATTAATACTCCTATGGCCTAATTCTAAATAACCTAAAAAACACATTTTGATGAAGCAAATTTTAACTGTAACTATTGGCTTTGTGGTAACTTGATAGGTTCATGCTATCAATAGTTATTCTCAGCAATAATAATCCTAGCATGAATTAAGAGGCAATTATTATCTCATTTAAAGCTACGTCTAACGCTCCTGAAATGTGAAAACGGAATTCTGGAGAC